CGGTTTCGCTCTTGTCCACAGCCGGAGGCTGTGACTCCTGTTTAAAACAACCAGCTAGTAAAGCCTCAACTAGTAAACCACATGGCCTCCCAGCACGGCCACTGCCAGGGCCAAACTGGTGCCGGGGGAAAGAGGCACAGGGGTAGCAGGGTCAGGGATTAATGCAGCAAAGCTGTTTTTCCCTCCAGCAATGTTTTGGTTTTCTTCAGGGCTTTGTTTACCAGCGGCTGGAACAACGCAGAGAAGAGAGTCTATAAAATCCCCGGCACGTCACCTGAAATGATGAAGCTCATTATCGAGTATGCCTACACCAGGACAGTACCCATCACAGCTGACAATGTTGAAGCTTTGCTAATAGCAGCAGACCAGTTCAATGTCATGGGCATCGTCCGGCTGTGCTGTGAGTTCTTAAAATCCCAGCTGTGCTCAGAAAACTGCATCGGCATCCACAGACTCACAGATCATTACTACTGCCCCGACCTGCGGGAAGCAGCCTGGACGTTCATCCTCCATCACTTCGAGGAGATGACCACGGTGTCCACAGAGTTCCTCCACCTCTCTGTCAACGAGCTGAAGAACATCATTGAGAAAGACGAGCTCAATGTGAAAGAAGAAGCTGCCGTCTTCGAGGCTCTTGTGAAATGGATTGCTCACGACCCGCAGAACAGGAGGCAGCACATCACGGTCTTGAGCCTGGAGCGGGGAGACCCCAACCAACGCCATCGAGACATACGATGTCCGTGCAAACAAGTGGGCGAATGTCACATGTGAGCAAGCAAGCCCCGTCGCCTATCATGGCACCGCTTATTTGAAAGGCTTCATCTACATCATTGGAGGGTTTGACAGCGTGGATTACTTCAGCAGCGTCAAGCGGTTTGACCTGCTGAGGAAAACCTGGCAGCAGGCTGCACCCATGCACTCGCAGCGCTGCTACGTCAGCGTCGCCGTTCTCGACGACTCCATCTACGCCATGGGAGGGTTCGATGGACACACGCGCCTCAACACGGCAGAGCAGTACGAGCCGGAGACAAACCAGTGGACGCTGATAGCCCCCATGCACGAGCAGAGAAGCGATGCTAGTGCGACCACGCTGCGTGAAAAGGTAAACGGACCGTGAGATTACGGAAAGCAGTGAAGGTTGAAGAATGGTGAGCAGGACAGCTGCCTGACAGGAGGGTGGATTGATGGGGGGTTGGTCTCTTCTCCCAAGTAACCAGCGACAGGACGAGAGGCAACGGCCTCAAGTTGCGTCAGGGGAGGTTTAGATTGGACATTGGGTAAAATTTCTTTACTGAAAGAGTGGTCAGGCCTTGGACCAGGCTGCCCAGGGCAGTGGGGGAGTCCCCGTCCCTGGAGGGGTTCAAAAACCATGTGGATGTGGCACTTTGGCACATGGTTTAGCAGGCGTGGTGGTGTTGGGGTGATGGTTGGACTTCATGATCTTAGAGGTCTTTTCCAACCTTAATGGTTCCATGACAAGGAACCAAACAGGCATCACCGTGCAGCATTACACAGCGAGTAAATTCCTTGTCCTTCGTAAGGCATGCATCCAGGCAGGGACGGGAGCCCATCCTCTCGTCGGGCTAGGGACCTGAGAAACACAGCTACCACCCCGAGCTTGTCATCTAGATAGAGAGAAGGAGCTGTGGGAGCAGGAAAGGAAACAAATGCTCCCTTCAACGCGCTGCATCATTTAAAATAAGGAGGAAGAAAGTTCACATCAACCTTATTCGTTAAATCCTGGAGCTACGGAAACAGAGCTCTCTCAGAGGCAGCAGCTGACTGGCGCGGGGGGGGCGCAGGCCGGGG